TCCACACATCCCAGTTATACTGGTTATTACCGCTATCCAGACGATAAGTGGATTCCATTCGGTCCCATTTTTCACCTGGAGTTGCTAAATCAGGTAATGACCTCCACACTAGATTCATTGCACCGGTATGCACACGTTTAAGTATAGATCTGCTAGCAACTATCACGAGATAGAAATTTCGGGCTCATAATCTAATTGTAAAATATATAGTATACTTTATTAAACGAACCGAGGTTTTACGCGGCAGTTAAGCTAATCTTGCTGAATTGTTATTTCTTCTAGCGCTTGTTATGTGACACCGAGTCATCCGAAATTTCGATGCTCAAAGCTTGCATTTTGCTCTCTGTCCCCAAACTAAAGGGATATGTGCTCGTTAACTCAAAAAATGGAAAATGCATTCGATGATATACCCTCTAGCTATAGTGCGGAACGTATCAAATTGAGCTGCCACAATTGCTTTGTTTTTGTTGCCAAAGTGTTGCAAAAAAATCAGTCGAGAATGTTGTTGTGTATCTAGATGTGTGATATAATGAAGATGTAAGGTCAGTCATTATACCACTTATAAACTGAGTTGGAGGTCTGTACTGTAAGTTACGGATCGAGTGTTTTTTTCTCTTAATTCGACTAATGGCAGCAGTGGCCTAAACACGAAGTGGAAAAAGTGATGATCTAAAAACTTACAGTGCGGAACTAGATGAGGTTAGTAAGATATTTTTTCTTCTATCTTTACTGGGTGTGTGTGGGAAGTGTTCAGTAGATCATTTAGTTATGCAAAAAAGCTTCAAATAGCTGACGGACGTCAAATGCAAAACATATTCAATCCGAAATCATTGCTGAGTTGTTGTGCAATAATTACGTTGAGTGATTCTTGGTAATTCCGACCATTTGACGTCACCAAGCTTATCTGAGCGCTAGCTTCGCTGATCGGTCACTCATAAGCTCGAGTCGAACGGTAAGCACGCTAATCCAGCGCTCCCTCCCAGGGGAGCTATTGATTCAGTTACGACCTTTCGCGTTACTCAGTGTACAGCGGTCGATTCTGACTCAATAAATTGTTGGCCCAAACCTCTTGTCGTGTAGTTATTGAGAGTGCGTGATAAATACGATTTTGTTTTGTTTTGTTTTTAAAGCGTTTTTGAGACTCACCGTCTGAACTTACTTTCGTAGTCCTCTTCGTTCATTTATCCCTATTTTGTGCAACATGTTACACCTCATCCCAAGAGATTATGACCATCACACTGCTCATTTCAAATGAGTTTTACCTCATTGAGATTAGCCATGACAGTTCGACGCCAGGTGGTTTTTGGCCGGCCAGGTTAACGTTAAGAGCACTTCAGATTTTAATGGGCCGTACAATAGATTACGGCCTGCTAAATTAGTCAATCACAGCGCGTGTGTAACTGAGAGTTATAATAACGTGAGGTTAGGCTGCTATAAATATTTTTTTAAAATAAAACTAACGCACGATAAGTGACCGATCGTTTCATAAAAGAAAAAAAAAATGGACAAGCTYCCGCYTGTCTGGACTCTGTGGGTTAACATCGTATAATAAAAAAATATAGCTGATAGACTTCGTTGTCAGAAATGATTGGATTGGTTTGCAGCGAGGAGTCTTGTAAGTAATTGTGCGGTCAGTGGCATGACGGCACAGCCTAGCCGAAAATTCTGAAATCACCATTTTCGTTTTTCTAAG